AGGTATATATTAAGATAATCATTAAGGAATATTGCCACGGTAAAAAAAATATACCTTGTGTATTCTTTCTAACCTAAAAAAAATATTTTGGTGTTGATTGAAATATTCTCTCAATATTTCAGTCAACGTTTTTAGTCTTTAATACTTATTGCACCAATTCACTTACCTTTAATAAACCTATTTAGCAAAATAAACTAAACAATATAATACTATTATAACTTGGTAAAAGTTTGTAGTTTAGCAGATGACTTTTTGTGATTTTAAAATTAGTGTTTGTGGAAAATATAAGATCGTGAGATACAATTAATTTTACGTTACATTTACATAAAAAAAAACAAGAAAAAGTACCACAAAATTTTACGCTTAATTTATTATTATTGGGTGTCATTATGCATTCATTTTATTACTTTAGTATTATTTTATTTATTGAGAACTATCTACAAAGTATTTTAAATTTTCCTGCGACACCACTTTGATATTAAACTGACTTTGGTAAGTAACTAGATATGTTAACTTGGCAACGCTGCGAAATCTTGTTACAATTAGTGTCGTCACTGTCGTCTATAAAAAACGGCTTATAAGCACATACTTCTAGTATGTGCTTATAAGGAACAGTTTCAATTTGGTAAAATTGGTAGCTATTAACTTAAGAGTTACTCTGAACTGATATTTTCAACTAACTACTATTTTTTCAAAAATGAGACCCTAAGTAAATATTCTGTTTTCAAATTTTCTATCCTTTTTTTACGAAATAAAGATATTTGTATTTAGTATAAGTACCACTTAAGTGTGATATATCTATTTATAAAAAAAATGAGTAAGTAGGTTACATTCTATCTTAAATAAATAGAAATAGGTTTATTAGGTACAATTTTAAAAAGATGTGTTCATTTATAATAAAATACTTAAAAAATCCTATAAAGTTGTATTATTTATAGTATCGTACCTATTAAATAATACAATAGGTACAAAGTGTACCCACAACACTCTGATGCCAGCTACAAAGTTTATTCTTCGAGTAACAATTACATAATGAGACATCCAAATACCATAAAATTAAAATTTTCATGATTACACATCTTGGAAGAACGTATTTCAATATGATATACTATCGTCAAACGTTTAATAAGGTCTGTAACGTTTCCTTCTGTTATCTTCATAATTATGTCTTTCTTCATATTGATGATTATTGTAACTGCTCCCTGCTTGTTCCCTGTAACCTTGTCTGTCTCCATAGTCTCGATTTCTGGTGTCTTCATTATGATGGAATTGGTTCCTACTTCTGTAATCATTATATCGGCCTCCTCGTCCTCGATCCCTATTAAATCGTCCTTTGCCATACCACGGGTACATGATTGGGGGGGGTGGAATTCCTAGATCAAATATTTTCTTATATTCCAAGTCAGAATCGGTGTATCGTTCCGAAAATTCTAAATTGCATTCTTCCAAAAATGTAAGTTGTTCTTTCGTTAAGTTTTCTGAGGCCATTTTAATTTTCCTCAATAAACAATCACTAAACAAATAAAAACAGCAAAGCAAAAAAAACCATAGAGGTTATGTTATGGTAAAGGTTATGTTGGTATTCAGGACTCAGGGTTGCCACTATTGCCAGATATATTTTTCTTAGGCTAGCCATCCATAAAAATAGAATTTTTTAAAAATAAATTTATAAATTAAATTTAATAAATTGTTTGGATGGTTCAGTTTTTATAAACTCAATTTTATTATATATCTTCTTAATTAGAAATTTTAGACAAGCCAAGGTGTAATGTAATAGATAGTGAGCTCAAAGGAGTAGATGACTAGTGTTTAGTGTTCTGTTATCTTCATAGATGACATTAGAAATGAAACCATTGAGTGCGCGACATTGACAGAAAATTTAGAAATTCAACTGGCGGCTGTTTTTTTTTTTGTATTTGGTCGATCATCAAGAAATGGGTTTTTATGATTTTATAAATTTTGTAGTTTATGATAATCCTGTCTCAAAATCAGTAACTTCCTTTGTAAAGGTAAAATTATTCAAAACATGTAAGTAATGTTTACTCTTAAAAATACACTGTTTTAGGGTTCCAAACCACCTGCAGTTCCCACTGTGACAGTTATAACTGAGAAAACCCCTTTGTGGAAACTGGCATCTGAAAATGGACCGTTCGTTCGCATTGCTGGTATCATGGGAGCTTCGGCCGTAATTTTAGGAGCATACGGTGCTCATAGGTCATATCCGAAAGATAGGGTGCAGGAACTGAAGCCAATTTTTGAAACAGCTAATCGATTTCACTTCTTTCACAGTTTAGCTCTTTTGGGTGTTCCTATGTGTAGGTCTCCTGTCTTGGTTAGTATATTTCAGTTCTATAATAATAATAAACGGTAGAGTATAATCATTTGGATATTTTACTGCTATTTGGTACACGGGTATTTGGATTTGTAAATATTATTTATTTTCAGGCTGGTACTTTAATTATTTCTGGGACGATTTTATTTTCCGGAACCTGTTACTATCATGCATTTTCGGGAGAGAAAAAATTTGGAAAACTAGCTCCAATTGGAGGCACAATTTTAATTCTGGGATGGTTGTCAATGGTTATTTAATTGTACCTGTTTTAAATAAATCATCATATGGGTTACATTTTTTTTTAGGTGATTTGTCCCTGCATGATCAATAATATAAGGAAGTGATATGTATTTAAGATATTTCAAAATGTCATTTTTGATGTAAATACTGATATTGTTTTTTATTTGTAAAAGTGTATGGCACAACATTAGTAAAATATTTAATTAATATAATTTTGATTATTTAATTTTGGGGAAACTATTTTTGTTTTTATGTGATGCACAAAAATGTTAATAAAATAAGAAGTGTGTGAAAATGATTTTTTATTCGAAGTTAAAATATTGTTAGTAGCAAATTAAATTTAAATATACCGTTGGTTTCGATATGCCAGATGAAAACAAAAAAAATATCATTTCAGAGATTGTAGAAAAAAATTAAATGGTGTAAATGATAGCACTACGAAATTCTAAAAGTTTGTTTTTATATCAAGCACAAGCAATAATTAGTGTGTATTTAGGATGGATGTTTATATTCTGTACCTATTTATTCAAATTTTTCATTAAAGTAGGCAACTATGTATACAGGTATCCTATATTACCGGTTGCATATCCAGAGGAATTCTACGCACTGTCGGTTGAAAGTTCAATTTTGTCTCTGGAGAATACCTTATAAAATACATAAAAAGACTTTAAACCATAACCTTGTTTATACTATACGTGTGCTACTACTTTTACCATTCCTGCAACTGCTTCGACCAGAACGACTTGCGAGTAGTCAAAACCAGGAGATTGATTATAATATGAAACAGTTTAGATATCGCATGGTTTCAAACTATTTGTTATGAATCAGAAATTGTAGAAGTAGCACATGCTACTTAATGGACTCATTCTCATTCAACTTAACTGAAAGTTTAACGATTTTTAATGAGATATCATCATTATCCATAAATATTTAAAAACGAACAAGTTTATTCGTTTATTCGTCATTCTCAGACGAGTTTGTAGCCTAGATATGGTTTGTAGACAAATGTAGATTTACACAGGTGTCTTGATTTCGCAAGATAATGGATTCCCTTAGTACAATTTGGTAATAGTATATTATTTAACGAGCGGTAATGCAGGTCATAACTCACGCAGATGAAGTTTGCAGCACGAGCCGCAGGCGAGTGCTGTAATTCATCAAGTTATGACAATTACCGCAAGTTGAATACTATATTTTATCTACGACTACATCTTCTGTAAACGAGTTAACGTTTTCATTGCTACACCAATTTTGAAAATTTTTATATATACCTACTTGTTTTTTGATTTTTCTGGTAATAAATTCTGTATTGCATTATTAGCTACTTCTCTTATTTCTGGAGGTGTACATAATAACTCATCTTCGCTATCTAAATTCATCTTTTTTAGGACTATTATTAGAAATTGATTTGAAAACGTCAAAATTATTTTGTTAAAATATCAAATGACATTAGTCCCCTCAATGATAGTAATTGACAGTTCCGCCTACTGAGAGGCGTTGGCAATTTAATAATTTTAAAATCTTTTAATTATTCATTCCTTTCAACTTGTTAAAAATTCCTTCCATTTTACCAATGGAACGTATTTATCGGCTTAAAAATTTCCAAGAATTTACTGCGTACACTATTTACATACCGAATTATCATTGTAGAAGCCCAGCGTGAGTTATAATAACTCACTAAAAACTCACGCTACTTGTTTATTGATACTATTAATTGCTCAAAAGCAGTTGAATAATTAATAATAGGAGTAGATAAAGAGTGTTTACATATACATATATAAGTATTTTAATATTCTTAACAATAATATTTGGTGAAAATACTTACATTATTAAAATTAACATCTTTCTTATCTGATTTTATCTACTTATGTAAATTAATTATACATTTTACATAAACTTTCTCTGAAATTATGTTTTTCGTCCGAAAATTATATTATTTTTGACAGAACCATGTATGTATCTTTATAAATAGATTGTAAATAGGTGCGTGTGATACATATACCGGGTGATTCACAACTTATCCAACAAATTTTTTTGTAAAATCCTTATAGTTTCCGAGAAAAAAATTGTAGTCGTAGCATTTACAATCATTACTTCGCCAAACCAAAACAAATTTGAAAAATAATAATTTTGTCCCTGGTCTATTTTAACTATCTTTTAAGGATATTATTTTTCATTTGCAAAATTTTTACAGATTTCTCAAATTTTGCTTTTTAATGTAATTTTTGCGCTCGTTTATACTAATATTTACAGTTCGACAGGTCTCTCCAACAAGTTTATTGCATTCGCAAGGTACACTACAAATATAATTTTTTTTATTTTGATTATTATTTGGGCATTGAAAAAAATTTAAACTACAAGAGTTGTTGCTTGTGATCAGTTAAATACGTAGTTAAAATTTTAGACCTACTGTAATTTTAGATAGTTTAAAAGTTCTAGGTTGAAATGGGAATATATAATTTAAAATATTTATAATTCTATAATTTTATATAACACATTGAATGTACAAGAATCACTGACAAAAACCATGCATTTTATTTTTTGCCACACTTTCTTCAACGTCCAATGGGAAATGAAACACAGACAAATAGTTAAACTAACACTTAGAATATTACGGTGGAGAAAATAAGTGACTTTTCTCAAAGTAGGCTTATGTCAAAACTTATTGATGGATGTCTCATAAACAACGCATACATTCTCAGCAAATTTTAAACTCTAATTAACTTTATATAAAAATTTTAGTGACTGTAATTAGTCATACTAACAATCACTAAAATTTTGATATAAAGTTAGAGTTTAAAATATTACTGAGAATGTATGCGTCGTTTATGAGACATCCATCAATGAGTTTTGACATAAGCCTACTTTGAGAAAAGTCACTTATTTTCTTCACCGTAATATTGTAAGAGTTCAATTAAAAGCCTTTTTTCTCGAAAACCGTCCACATTAGGAAATCCTAACAAGAGTACATTATTTTTAGAAAATAAAATTGTACATTAGAAATTGGAGCCCGAAAACCTAATCTCAAAAAAATTTGAACCTAAAATGTAATAGGAATGTAGCGTGACTAGCGCTCTCTATGAAATATCCAAAAAATAAGACCAGCGTATTTGGCGTCCTTAAAAACTCCGGAATACCAAATTTCATAAAAATATTTCGCACCGTTTGGAAATTTTCGTAAAAATTCTATTTAAAAAGTTTTATTTTGTCGCTCTGTATCTCGAAAACAAGAGGAGATGGACATACAGTTCATTCGACAAAAAATTCTTATTTTTTGTCGTACTATTGCCCCCTGAATTTACGAGAGGTCTTTCTGAAACACCTTGTATATCAATACAAAAAGTCTAATTTTGCAATAATCGAGCATTATATACCAATCAGTATATTTGCTGCATATTTTATAAACGCATCCAGTACATAACCTACAGGTTAGTTAAGTTTGGATTTGTCATTTTCCATTGAAATTTTATTGCAGATAATTCAATATCAGTGTAGACATCATTCACTTGTTTAAATAATCAGTCAATCTCCTGCTTTGGTATTTGCTTCAACATTTTTAATAGACAAAGATAGACAAGATAGAAAGAAAAACGTATTCATAGATTATTTGATGATCTATATCAACAGTAAACAAAGCACTTGGCTAATTTCGTATATATACTTTGCCAAATAGGTACTATCAATCATACACGTGTAATCATCAGATCTGGAAAGTGTAGCAAAAATTAAAAAAATATATAATGAAATTCTTATTTGTTCTGGCACTTGCAGTCATTGGTGCAACTGCTGCACCATCTGTTGGTAAGCTCCTAATTTCAATCAAGTATTAATATATTAATAAATAGTAAATAATTTTTATATAATTTAGTTTCACAAGGCTTACGTGTAAAGGTACATTAATACTTTATGTTCTTTCAGAAGACGATAATGTAGTTGACCGTATTAAAGAATTGATCAACACAGTTTTAGTGCTAATTCCAGAACCTCTTTTGGACATCCATGACGAGAAAGCTTATATAGACCTGGGTTTTGAACAGTAAGACCGAAAGAAAAAACTAGACTTCAATGCCATCATAATTTTGTAACATTTACAGGCTCAACGTCACCTTAGAGAATGTTGTCATCTCTGGAATCAAGAATTGGGAAGTCAGCACTTTGACTTTCGATGAAGACTCTAGCCGTATTGACTACGTCTTGACTGCGCCTGATATCGAGGCTTCCATTGAATTGGATATCTTGTTGAATGGTATTCTTGAAGCCGACAACCATCCGGTCGTCAAGTAAGAGCAATGTGTTGATTGTTTGGTGAATTCAATATTGCCCGTATTTATTCTTCTGTTTTTCTTTAATATCAAGCCTTCTTCATAACGTTGCCTTTTACATCTTTCCAGTGTTAAGTTGAGCAACCTGCAACTCACAGGTCGCGGCGTCCTCGATACAGCATCCTCCCCACACAAAGTGACTGACTTCTATCTTCTGGGTGTTCTTGAAGATGGCAAGGTAAGAATTCCACTAAGAGTCTTCTTCAATTGGTGATATTGCTGTCTTTGTTTCAGGTGGACTTGACTGGAATCCTGAACGACGATGTCCTCAGTGAGAAACTCGAAACTCTGTTTAACGAAAAATTGGCCACCATGGTCAATGACCTCAGCGTCCAGTTGGAACCAATCATCAGCCCCCTCGCCAAAGGCCTGGTCAACCTCATCATTCGTCTCACCAGCTAAATTGTAAAATAAATAAATGTATTTTTCGATGCTTGTGAATAAATAATTGTTATTATTTAAACTGTCTTTATCAATTTTACAAACTTCACAAAATGTTTCACAAGTGTTGGCTATGTTAGACATTTCTTTAATTAGAAAGTTTTTTCGTTCAAAATTTTCATTAACTGTATGTACAATGTAATTCATTTGTTTTTAAGCCACCTTGTAAAATCTTTATTTATTGTGTGATTTTACGCGGATTTTTTTTTAAGATGTAGAGCTTGATGAAGGATGCTTTGTGAAGGAAAATGAGTGTGATCCCACAAAATCTAAGGCGTACTACGTCCGTTTTTAGGAGTAAAATTCTATTATTTCATAGGGATGTTTTAAGAAAAAATATATTTACGACCCTCCAAAATCTTTTAAAACCTGCTTTAAATTTAAAAAAAAATTGATTTGATTGAATATTCACAGTTGTTCTAGTTGTTTATAAGTACAAAAATTCGACCAATATTTAAACAAGCGCCAGAGCTCTCCTAATTGACGGATTCGAATTTTTGAAAAAGCGTTTGAAAGTTTGAGGGCCCTTCTATATGTGATTAAATTTTCATGTATCTAAGGGCCTTGGTTTTTGCTGTGCAAAATTTTGAAAATTTGCAAATTTTTCCAAAATCTGGATTGCAAAATTATTATGCAAAATCTATAGAACCTTAACTCTTAAAATCTTAACTTTTGGCGGCACAATATGTTAAAATAATTTGAAAAATGTCATACTTTTCTTCCTATTTATTTATGTATGGAAGAGGTTTGTAATTAAATTTTTTACAAAATATGACTAGCTACAAATCGAATAAATCATGATTACTGTTGTAAAAATTGAAAAATCGACAAAAATGGGGTTAAAAAACATTACTTTTTAGGGAATTTTTTGGGGTTTTCAAATTGAGTATAGGACCTTCATACTTGGCTCAAGAAAACTTCATGTTATGTAGAATCATCATACCAAATTTCATCAAAATCGATTTGATAGATTTTGGATAATAATTTTGCAATCCAGATTTCTTAAAAAAATTTGCAAATTTTCAAAATTTTGCACAGCAAAAACCAAGGCCCTTAGATACTTGAAAATTTAATCTCATATAGAAGAGCTCTCAATCTTTCAAACGCTTTTTGAAAAATTCGAATCCGTCAATTAGGAGAGCTCTGGCGCTTGTTTAAACATTGGTCGAATTTTTGTACTTATAAACAATTAGAATAACTTTGTGAATATTCAATTAAATCAAATTTTTAAGCAGGTGTTAAAATTATTAACTATGAATAAAATATTATTGATTTTTTATAGTTAATTTATTAATTTAATCATCATTTCTTTTGTGATTAAAGTATAATTCAAATATTATTTATTGTTTAAAATATAAGCAAATGAGAAATTAACTCATTATATTACTAATTTTCGACATATTTTGAAAATAATATCGTTGTTTAAACAATTTTAGAATATCATATATGTGATTAAATTTTCAAGTATCTAAGGGCCTTGGTTTTTGCTGTGCAAAATNCTACACGAGATGAGGCAGGATAAAGAGGGATAATCCCCCTCGATCCCAAATCATTGAGGCCAATTTCTAGCCATAGAATAATGGCGCGCGCGGTTTCAATCATTCAGTGTGCCAACTTAAATTTCTAGTCACACTGAGATAGCATGTTTTTACTTAAAGATTTGAGTTAGCATGTTTTCCAAACTTTATTTGAGATAGCATGTTTTCCAACCGAAATCTGAGATAGCATGTATTCGTACTAAAACGTCGATATAACCTACTAGCCGGCGGGGCCCAGCCAGGACAAAAGGAGGTCCCACAAAGCGCCTACACCGGCCGCATTTGCGGTCGGGGTAGACGACGGATGGGGCCCACCTACGAAGGCNTGCTGTGCAAAATTTTGAAAATTTGCAAATTTTTTTAAGAAATCTGGATTGCAAAATTATTATGCAAAATCTATAGAACCGATTTTGATGAAATTTGGTGTGATAATTCTTCATAACATGAAGTTTTCTTGAGCCAAGTATGAAGGTCCTATACTCATTTTAAAGACCCCAAAAAAATTCCCTAAAAAGTAATGTTTTTTAACCCCATTTTTGTCGATTTTTCGATTTTTACAATAGTAATCATGATTCATTCGATTTGTAGCTAGTCATATTTGGTAAAAAATTTAATTACAAACATTTTTTCCCTTTTACATTTTCGCCTAAAATCAACTCTTGAAAAGATACATAATTAAATAGAAAAAAAATGACGTTTTTCGAATTTTTTTAACATATTGTGCCGCGAAATTTTTTTTTATGCGCATAGAAAAACTTTCATTTCTAGTGATATTTGAAAGCCAAAAAGCCAAAAATCTCCGTGGATATACGATTCACCCAAATATGGACTTTTTGAAACAGATACCGTCCGGACTATTATTATTCATTAACATAGATCATGATTATTAGATTACTGAATTGTACTAATAACAGTTATAAAACATTATTTTAGACTTTTGCTGTTTTTTAATGACAGACATCATTTTGTCATTTTTTGTGTACTTCCGATCAAATAATAAAAAATAAAGAAAACAGAAAAATCATAGCTGTCTAAGGACACTTTTATCGTTTTCACCAATAAATAACTACCCGTTAACAAATATCTATTTTGATTTAAAATTTAAATTGTACGATTTCCGAATTTAGTTTTAAACTTTAAAATTCATTTTCTAGCAAATGAAATAAAAGTAACATTCATCGTTTTGCCGTGTGGGCTTCGTATGTCTACACAGTCTATGTACAGTATCTTCATGATTAGAGTGAAACAAGAAAAACTTTTTTGAATGGAAAAAAGCACACCGGATAAAAACATATTTTTGTCACTTATTTATTACGTTAAGTTTCAGTTCCAGTTTAAAATAACGACGATGCCGTCAAGAGAGAGAGATATAGTTTTCAGAAATTGTGTTTATTTTACAAACTTAAAACAATAAATTGCATTTCAACAGAAATCAGTCATTCAATGTGGCGCAGGATGATGTTAATGAAAGACTGTACAATGGGGCTGGCAGCGGGTTCTAGGATCACAGCGACGTTTTGTACAATGGTGGGCAATTGCTCGTTCAAAACTTTAGTGAGTTCTTCGGTAACCTCATCGTCGTTAATTATGTTGGTCAGTTCAGCCTGAAAGCAACAAAAAAATATTAACAATGCACTTAGAAGAAAAACTGCTCAGACGAAGTAAAACAACCGTACCTTAGAACCACTTATGGTGGTTAAGAATTTGAAGTCCGTAAGTTGGTTGGGTTCAACGGTAGTGTCAACTACTGCGTATCCGGCTAGATTTAAATCAATCAGGTCAATCCTAAAAAGAAAAGTAAGTATCACCCACACTGAAACACATTTTTGTTTGATAGATAGCAACCACTTACTTGGCAGTTGGGTGATGGTCACCGTTGATGATACCAGAGAGCACGACATCGAGGTCAGCATAAGTCTCGATTTTTGCTAAGGTCAAGTCGAAGTCGAGGCGTTTTGTGGATGAGTCGTAGTCCAATTGTTTGATGTCTAGGTCCTTGACTCCTTTCACCACAAAGTCCACGAGATTGAATTCCAGTCTGTTAATGAAGAAACAACGATATTAATGCATTATCATAAAAAAAATTAAAAAGCTTATGGTTGTCGAAAAATTAACGAATTTTTGATAGGATTTTTTTAACTTGTAAAATTTTGATTTGTAATCAACTGCTGATATATCACGTTTAGTTTCATCGGGATGAAAGACGAAAAAGCCTGGGTATCATCAGCAAAGTAATAACTCCATACAAAACATGAAACCAGTACGAAATCTGGATGTATAAATAAACGACAATGGCCCTAAAATTGAACTTTGTGGAATATCCTTGCCAGCACCTAAGAAGTTCAGCTTGCTCTCTTTCCATTTGTGAGACAGTTAGAGAAAATATGCAAAGCGGCAGTTTTGTCAATTCTGATACCAGTTTTTTTTTTAAATAATCAAATTTTCAATTTTTAAAACATAATTATGCAAACTCTCACTTTTCAAGCGGCAACGTAACGGTGTATTTCTTATCGTGGACGTCAATAATTGGATCTGTGATTTCTTCCAAAATCTTTTCGATTGCTTTCCTGACGTCACCAGCAACATCTGGGTCATCTGTAAAAAGTGACAATAGATATAGGACATTTCTAATTTTATTCAATGATTTTACAAAGCATCTATATTTAAGTTCCATCTTTAGATCACTTACCAGCGTGTACAGTGAAAACGGCGAGAGCCAAAACGGATACAAGAATTTTCATGATTGAGCAGTCTACGTCTCAAGCTTTCGTAATGCTTGATCGAGAACGAAACCGGGCTTTATATACTTACACCTTATCACGTTCAATAAAAAAAAATCTAAAAATGTCGGTTGAGTACTTTATTTAGATATCGGCGTTTTAAAACATATTTAATTCTGAATTCACTATCAGTTAAATCTCGTACACTCATACAGATAATACAGTGAGATTCAATATTCAGTATTTAGGCGAAACAGTCGTTGAATGACACAGCCACACAAAAAAAGAGTGTCATATGGTTTTGACCAAACTAGTATATCCTATAGTATTTTGATGCGCTGAATCCGAATCCACTGTCAGAATTCCGCTAACACGTCACATATTTTTCTAACCTCAAAAATAGGTCAAAAATAGCAAAAATAGACAAAGAAGAGAAAAAACAACAAAAAAAAGTTATTTTTTTACTTCTCTTTATGTAGTTGGGCTCGCTGAATCCAAATCCACTTTTAGAAATCATACAGCACACCTCATTTTTTTCTAATCTCAAAAAAATCGGCAAGAAATCGAGGTTTGCAAGAAATAATTAGAATCATGAAAAATTTGGTATGCAGGGGTTTCAGATTAATGCTATTTTGGATCCCTGAGGGTTTTTAGGTTCGCTAATCACGAATTTGAGTTCAGAATTGCAAAATTGAACATTGCGTATCCAATGTGGCGGACGAAATTTTCGAAAAATCAACAGATTAATCCCGAATTGGATCCTGGGGGATTTTGGGGGTTGCAGATCATGAATATGAAATCAGAATTGCAAAATTCAACATGGCGGACCTAATATGGCATGGCGGGCCAGGATCCAATATGGTTGATTTTGTGGATGAATGTATGCATCTTCAAATGGATGGCTTTTTTAAAACAGGAATAGATGGACCTTTGAATGTATTGGATATTGGTCTGCCATATTGGATCCGCCATGATGAAATTGCAATTCTAAGTTCGTATTCGTGATCAGCAACCCCCAAAACACCTCAGGATCGAATTCGGTATTATTCTGTTAATTTTTCGAAAATCTCGTCCGCCATATTGGATCTGCCATGTTGATTTTTGCAATTCTGAATTCAAATTCGTGATTAGCGAACCTAAAAACCTCTACATACCAAATTTTCATGATTTTTTTGAGATTAGAAAAAAATGAGGTGTGCTGTATGATTTCTAAAGGTGGATTTGGATTCAGTGAGCTCAATTACATATAGTTATGCTAAAAAATGTGAAAAATAAATTTTTTTGTAGCTTTTTCTCATACTTCGTCTATTTTTGCTATTTTTGACCTATTTTTTGAGGTTTACATCGGAATACTCATGATCGTTATGTAAATTTATAACGCCTCTGCTGGTGAAACGTTGCGTTAAATCACCACACTTTGGGTTTCCCTACCCTCTATACCCTCTCTATATGGTTTTAGTTGCTTCATAAGACAAATGAAAAATGTCCTTAATTTTTTTGTCTTTATTGAATTTTTCGCTGTCATTGCGAATTGTCAATCATATATTTTCTGTTAATTTGTGATAATTATTCTAAAGAGTTTTTTTCTTATTAGAAATAGTCAGTCATCTGAAATTATTAAGAGTAACTGTTTTACTTTTTTGCGTCTGTTTTTTTTTTAAATTTCACACTTTTGAAGTTTTTATATTGTTTACATTGATTCTATCTATTTTTACAAGGTGTTACTNTCCTATAGTATTTTGATGCGCTGAATCCGAATCCACTGTCAGAATTCCGCTAACACGTCACATATTTTTCTAACCTCAAAAATAGGTCAAAAATAGCAAAAATAGACAAAGAAGAGAAAAAACAACAAAAAAAAGTTATTTTTTTACTTCTCTTTATGTAGTTGGGCTCGCTGAATCCAAATCCACCTTTAGAAATCATACAGCACACCTCATTTTTTTCTAATCTCAAAAAAATCGGCAAGAAATCGAGGTTTGCAAGAAATAATTAGAATAATGAAAAATTTGGTATGCAGAATTGCAAAATTGAACATTGCGTATCCAATGTGGCGGACGAAATTTTCGAAAAATCAACAGATTAATCCCGAACTGGATCCTGGGGGATTTTGGGGGTTGCAGATCATGAATATGAACTCAGAATTGCAAAATTCAACATGGCGGACCTAATATGGCATGGCGGGCCAGGATCCAATATGGTTGATTTTGTGGATGAATGTAAGCATCTTCAAATGGATGGCTTTTTTAAAACAGGAATAGATGGACCTTTGAATGTATTGGATATTGGTCTGCCATATTGGATCCGCCATGATGAATTTGCAATTCTAAGTTCGTATTCGTGATCAGCAACCCCCAAAACATCTCAGGATCCAATTCGGTANTCGAGCAGTTTTCTTTAGTCACTCTTTTGTTCTGGAAATGTTTTTAAAATATTAATTATAGATTTTGAAGAAACCATTAACTTTTTCCTATTTATTGTCTATTTATTACACATGAAAGCTTAAATAATCGAGCACTTCTGATTTTATTCTATTACAAAGTATAATTTTTATGGTTTCCTTATATTATGATAGATTTTAAACCTAAACTCGGTACGCCACTGTACCAGGGACCATTGTGTTTACTTATGTATCATTTGTTTATCAACATACAATAGGTTGAGGTTACATGTTTACACTGTGTACTGAAATAGGGAATGCTTTATTTATTACTCTGAGGGTAAAACGCATATGATCGGAGATTTTTGTTTTAATGGCTTCTAATCAGAAATGATAATATTTCTATGCAAATAAAAAAACGTGGGCTTAATTGTTATTGGAAAAAAGTATTAAAAAATAGCAAAAACAAATCATTTTTTTCTTGGATTTCTCGTCGACAAATTAGCAAATATTCATTTTAGACAAAAATGGAAAAGGAAAAAAAGTTTTGTTATTAAATTTTGATCAAGATAGAGTTAGTTGCAATTCGAAAAAATACACTTGAATAATCCCTAGGATCTTCATACTTTTCCCAATTAAACTTCTTAGTGCATAGAAACATCATACCAAATTCGGTTCAATAGTTTTTACATAATACCTAATTGTTTAAATTTTTTTTTAATTAAAAAATTTTGAAAATCAAATTTCTAAAAATCTAAAGCCTTTGAATACTTAAAAAATTTCACCACAAAAAGAAGAGCTCTCAAGCTTTAAAATGGTTTTTGAAAAATTCAAATCGGACGCTTAGGTGAGCCGTGGTGATTGTTTAAACATTTTCGCAATTTTCACGCTTATAAACAATTGCAGTAATTTATTGTTTTTTTCATTTTTTTTAATTTTAAAATATGGTTTGAAAGTACTCGGAAAAACGAGTATTTAAAAAAACACTGATGATCCCCCCCATAATTTTCGAGTTATAGACCGTTAAAGTTAACCCTTATTTACAGCAAAACTATAATGGTATAAGGGCTGTTTTTTGAACTAATAGGTTTGTCATTCCGAGTACTTTCTAGATATAAATTTTCAAAATTTGCATTCACGGGCGTCCCATTTAAAATGTCACTCAAAGATATTCAAGACCGCGTGAAATCAATGAAATATCAGTGGTGGGGGGAGCAAACACACAGCTACTCCGATCTGAATTCTCGAGTTCAAAAATGTTCTGAGTATTGCACCTATTGCCAAGGGCAAATGTGTAAAAATGCTAATAAAACAGTGAAAGTAAACGAGTTCGAAATCGATTTTGAAGAAGACATGTCAGAAGAAAGTGCAAGTGAACTCGACAATCAGATTTCAGAGTCGTTAGAAAATGATATTTTGCAATTGCAGGACGAGGAAATCGACGACGAAATAGTATGTGATAATACTGATGAGGCATGTGAAAAATNTTTCACAAAATCTGGGATGCACAATTTATTCTGATTTCGAGGTGCAGGGACTTAAAAAAAATTAGTCTGGAAATTCCACGCCACTGGATTCTTTGGTTTTAATACTTCAATCACTACCTGTAGCTCCTTGAGAACAAATGTCTTTCGTTTTATTCAAAAAGCAAACCATTCCGATTTATTACTTTTTAAATTTTCATTTACATTAGGTCTGTTCCAACAAGAGTCTGGGATTGGTTCCCAACCGTTTGAAATGTTTGGCCAGCTAAGTTCTAAATATGTCTTCACTTAATATATCGCAAGAATTAGTTGGATGCACATTTCTAACAGTTCGGAACCAATTCCTGACTCATGTTGGAACAGACCTATTAACAGACAAACACAGTATACCCATAGGTGATGAATGATCCAGCACCGCGCCAATCAATGGCCTTGGATGGATATATCGACGCTTTAGTACGAAAACATGCTATCTCAAATTTCAGTTGGAAAACATGCTAACTCAGATCTTTAGGTAAATCCTCAGAGTAATAAGTAAAGGGGAGGCCGCATTCCCTATTTGAGTACACAATGTAAATATGTAACCTCAACCTATTGTATGTTGATAAACAAATGATAAATAAGTAACCACAATGGTCCCTGGTACAGTGGCGTACCGAGTTTAGGTTTAAAATCTATCATAATATAAGGAAACCATAAAAATTATACTTTTTAATAGAATAAAATCAGAAGTGCTCGATTATTTAAGCTTTCATGTGTAATAAATAGACAATAAATAGGAAAAAGTTAATGGTTTCTTCAAAATCTATAATTAATATTTTAAAAACATTTCCAGAACAAAAGAGTGACTAAAGAAAACTCCTCGATTGAAACTATCATTATACTATAGCTATAGCAATGTCATTGCCTACTATTAATTCTATTATTTCATAGTAGTTCTCGATTACTGGAAGAACATTTATTAAAATAAATAATTTAAATAAAACTACAAGAAAAGGAGCAAAAATATATTTAANCAATATTCAGTATTTAGGCGAAACAGTCGTTGAATGACACAGCCACACAAAAAAAGAGTGTCATATGGTTTTGACCAAACTAGTATATCCTATAGTATTTTGATGCGCTGAATCCGAATCCACTGTCAGAATTCCGCTAACACGTCACATATTTTTCTAACCTCAAAAATAGGTCAAAAATAGCAAAAATAGACAAAGAAGAGAAAAAACAACAAAAAAAAGTTATTTTTTTACTTCTCTTTATGTAGTTGGGCTCGCTGAATCCAAATCCACCTTTAGAAATCATACAGCACACCTCATTTTTTTCTAATCTCAAAAAAATCGGCAAGAAATCGAGGTTTGCAAGAAATAATTAGAATAATGAAAAATTTGGTATGCAGAATTGCAAAATTGAACATTGCGTATCCAATGTGGCGGACGAAATTTTCGAAAAATCAACAGATTAATCCCGAACTGGATCCTGGGGGATTTTGGGGGTTGCAGATCATGAATATGAACTCAGAATTGCAAAATTCAACATGGCGGACCTAATATGGCATGGCGGGCCAGGATCCAATATGGTTGATTTTGTGGATGAATGTAAGCATCTTCAAATGGATGGCTTTTTTAAAACAGGAATAGATGGACCTTTGAATGTATTGGATATTGGTCTGCCATATTGGATCCGCCATGATGAATTTGCAATTCTAAGTTCGTATTCGTGATCAGCAACCCCCAAAACATCTCAGGATCCAATTCGGTATTATTCGGTATTATGTTAATTTTTCGAAAATCTCGTCCGCCATATTGGATCTGCCATGTTGATTTTTGCAATTCTGAATTCAGATTCGTGATTAGCGAACCTAAAAACCCCTACATACCAAATTTTCATGATTTTTTTGAGATTAGAAAAAATTGAGGTGTGCTGTATGATTTCTAAAGGTGGATTTGGATTCAGTGAGCTCAATTACATATAGTTATGCTAAAAAATGTGAAAAATATTTTTTTTTTAGCTTTTTCTCATACTTCGTCTATTTTTGCTATTTTTGACCTATTTTTTGAGGTTTACATCGGAATACTCATGATCGTTATGTAAATTTATAACGCCTCTGCTGGTGAAACGTTGCGTTAAATCACCACACTTTGGGTTTCCCTACCCTCTATACCCTCTCTATATGGTTTTAGTTGCTTCATAAGACAAATGAAAAATGTCCTTAATTTTTTTGTCTTTATTGAATTTTTCGCTGTCATTGCGAATTGTCAATCATATATTTTCTGTTAATTTGTGATAATTATTCTAAAGAGTTTTTCTCTTATTAGAAATAGTCAGTCATCTGAAATTATTAAGAGTAACTGTTTTACTTTTTTGCGTCTGTTTTTTTTTTAAATTTCACACTTTTGAAGTTTTTATATTGTTTACATTGATTCTATCTATTTTTACAAGGTGTTACTTAAGTAAGTTAGCAAACTTCAAAAGGAGATTCTTTGGGTAATTTAAGCTGGAATGGGTCCACAAATCAATAGTTTTCGAGGTGCAGGGACTTAAAAAAAATTAGTCTGGAAATTCCACGCCACTGGATTCTTTGGTTTTAATACTTCAATCACTACCTGTAGCTCCTTGAGAACAAATGTCTTTCGTTTTATTCAAAAAGCAAACCATTCCGATTTATTACTTTTTAAATTTTCATTTACATTAACAGACAAACACAGTATACCCATGGGTGATGAATGATCCAGCACCGCGCCAATCAATGGCCTTGGATGGATATATCGACGCTTTAATACGAAAACATGCTATCTCAAATTTCAGTTGGAAAACATGCTAATTCAGATCTTTAGGTAAAAACATTATTCGATTTTATTCATACAAGTTTGCTTTGGTATCAAAATTAATAGCGTACTATTGCCTGATTTATAGTTGCTACCCTTGATACACTTACTTTTCTTTTTCACAAAATCTGGGATGCACAATTTATTCTGAAAATAATTTTGTATGCCTAAGGAGACTGCAATAAAAATGATTATATAGTGGACCAGGCTAGGCCCCAAAATCCGGGTCCGAATCGTTCTTACTGCACCTCAATAAAAACAAGGTACCGCGTCCTTGCATAGACTTTGGAAATGAAATGCAGGTATGCGACACTTTTATTGCCGGTACTTTATGATCTGCTGACGATTAACATGTGTGCACGGGGAACCGCGGAAATGTGCACGTGCAAATCGTATGCGTCCGTCGCATCGATATATGTATACATCTCATTCAACTTTATACATTATATTTATATTCTGGTTATTATGTTAACTCTATTAACAAAAGTAAGAGTAGTGACTATAAATTAGATAAGAGTGCGCTATTAATTTGTCGGAATCTTAGGGCTAACTTGGGCGTTAATACCACTACTCGTGTCACTCATCTTCACGAAATAATAAGTAATACCGTAAATGAAAATGATTTAAAATAAAACGTTACAAATAAAGTACTCGAGGTGTTTTATGACAACAACCAGAGGCCCGATACCGAATCCACTGTCAACAGAATAGCAGTGTACTTACGTCTTCAATGCTCAAGTAGAACTGCTCTCAGTACATCTCTTTGTACTTCTCTTCACTCGTCAGGCCAAAATTATTCTTAAATGAACCAATCAAATTCGTTATATCCTAGGGATTCCCTTATAGTCCAATTAACTAAGCCTTTAAATCGAAATTTTGCCAACTTGGCTGAATTTTTGATATGAGTTAGTTTAAGGTATATTATAACAATAAGTGAGAGTAATTTTTTGTTCAACCCCCGGCCAAGGGTGGAAAAAGATAAAACAAAGGGCTTTTTCAAGATAACTCAAAAAGGGTAAGAGCTAGAAAAAAAAGTTTTTCATGAAAGTTGTAAAGCAGACAATTCTACATAAAAATGGTCTCTTAGCTTTTTCTTGTACTATTAAAATTAACAGAGTTAGGGAGGCTAGAAGTTAAGGGAAGATTTCAGAAATTTAATTTTGTTAAATCATTAAAATTAACGATTAAAAATTTGATTTTTTGTTATAACTTTCTTATTAAAAATTAAAAAATATATCTATTTCTCTGAAAAGAAAAGTTACATATTTTAGAGCAGATTGAAAAAAAAAATTACAAAATTCAATCATTTTTCTGTTTGTTATGATTTTTTTTAAATTTCTGAAATCTTCCCTTAACTTCTAGCCTCCCTAACTCTGTTAATTGTAATAGTACAAGAAAAAGTTAAGAGGCCATTTTTATGTAGAATTGTCTGCTTTACAACTTTCATGAAAAACTTTTTTTTCTAGCTCTTACCCTTTTTGAGTTATCTTGAAAAAGCCCTTTGTTTTATCTTTTTCCACCCTTGGCCGGGGGTTGAACAAAAAATTACTCTCACTTATTGTTATAATATACCTTAAACTAACTCATATCAAAAATTCAGCCAAGTTGACAAAATTTCGATTTAAAGGCTTAGTTAATTGGACTATTTATAAAGTAATTTTAAGGTAAATTATATTTATCCTTTGACCGCGGCTACGTTGAGTGACCCGTAAGTCCCTCCAAACTCAAGCTTGCCATCATAAAACTCGGGAAGAACATAACCGGCTTAATTCATAAATACCTATTTCTAAGTTTTATGGTCTAGGTACAATTTATAAAAGGGTATTCCTTGAGTAAAGAATTCTGGAATTTCCAAAGTCTGAAGGACTCGGCCTGTGAGAAAGACATCTGCGACAAATTTTATCAAAGCAAACTTGTATGAAAAAAAATCGAATAATTTTTAGTAATAACAAACATTTTTATATATTAAGGTATACACAATTTTTTTTTTATAATTTATTATTTCAAAAAACGTCGAGTAATGTACGTGTTGCAGCATACTGCATATTATTCTATTTTTTTAATTAACAATTATTTTGTCGTTTATAACAGTAACTTAACAAAATTAATTGAAAAATGTTGAATAAAAAAATAAAATAAACAGTGTACCTGAACATAAACATTCCTTACTTCTGTAATCATATAATTATATAATTTTATTATAAATGCACGGTTTCAATCAGTTCAGTGCGAACAGCCGAGCTGAGCGGACGTGCTTGGTTGTGAGGTGAAGTGATTGCAACGAGCAANAAGTACCAATGTTTGTAAATACACATGTCAACACTTCACTATCGAATATAAATAAAGGCGTCCCCTTTATTTATTAGTCTGAGGTAAAAACATACTATCTCAGTGTGACTAGAAATTTAAGTTGGCACACTGAATGATTGAAACCGTGCATTTATAAGAAACTTATATACCTAATATATTTTTAAAAACTAAGAAATGTTTATGTTCCGGTACACTGTTTAGTTACTGTTATAAACGACAAAAGAATAATATGCAGTATGCTGTATAGTCCAATTAACTAAGCCTTTAAATCGAAATTTTGCCAACTTGGCTGAATTAGGTATATTATAACAATAAGTGAGAGTAATTTTTTGTTCAACCCCCGGCCAAGGGTGGAAAAAGATAAAACAAAGGGCTTTTTCAAGATAACTCAAAAAGGGTAAGAGCTAGAAAAAATCTAAATTTAATTTTGTTAAATCATTAAAATTAACGATTAAAAATTTGATTTTTTGTTATAACTTTCTTATTAAAAATTAAAAAATATATCTATTTCTCTGAAAAGAAAAGTTACATATTTTAGAGCAGATTGAAAAAAAAAATTACAAAATTCAATCATTTTTCTGTTTGTTATGATTTTTTTTAAATTTCTGAAATCTTCCCTTAACTTCTAGCCTCCCTAACTCTGTTAATTGTAATAGTACAAGAAAAAGTTAAGAGGCCATTTTTATGTAGAATTGTCTGCTTTACAACTTTCATGAAAAACTTTTTTTTCTAGCTCTTACCCTTTTTGAGTTATCTTGAAAAAGCCCTTTGTTTTATCTTTTTCCACCCTTGGCCGGGGGTTGAACAAAAAATTACTCTCACTTATTGTTATAATATACCTTAAACTAACTCATATCAAAAATTCAGCCAAGTTGGCAAAATTTCGATTTAAAGGCTTAGTTAATTGGACTAT